TTTCTCCTCCTAGGCTTGCTTTGTGTTCATAGAGGTACATAATCTTTATATACACATAAATTCTGTCCTTGATCTCTTGCAACAAAGGAAAGATGCCATTATAAATCTGCCAGGCTTTTAAGGAGACAGAAGAGCTTCTCCTGTTTCAAGTAAACAGAATTCTTCTTTCTTCCAGTACTGCCTATCCAACTGGGTCAACCCTTGTAGCTATTGTTGTAACCTGCCTCAAGCCATGAGGAGAGGTGGGTAAGAAATAAAATTATTGTTGTTATTATTTGATATACAACAAGATTAGTACACAGCAAAAAAGATCACAATTCCAGTTGTTGCATTGGATCAAACGTTGGACACTTCCCAAGTTTCTAGGACTATGTGATGTATTGGCGACTAATGTGTGCAGATTTGAGTAGGGTGGCCTTTTGCAGCTGGCAGATGGTAATTTGATCAGTGTTTATTGGTTTCAAGTGCTGGCCAAGGTATTTAGGTACTGCATCCAGTGTGTCGATCACCACTGAGACCATCTCTTGAAATATGCATTGCAATTGCTTTTTTAAAAATTTAGTAGTGCTTTAATACTAATTGCATAATCTTGTTTTAATATTTTCTGTTTCATCTGCACCTGCTTTATCTTTTTTATATATCTTTTTCTATTGTATATGTAGCCATTGGTCTCAGTTCTGAGAGAAAGGTGGGCATCAGTCAAATAAATGAAAAAGAAATGAAATAAAAATATGATTGTGGCCTGGAAAGACATGGCTTTTGATTCAGGAGGCTCATGAGCTCCGGTGACTGAAGTGGAGGGTACTTCAAATCCATCACAAAAATTGTGTTCTTTTCTAATTTCCTCATCTTTGAGCAATTTCAGCTGAAGAATGAAACTCTGCTTTTTTCCTCTGCTTGATTTCTTTAAAATCTTCCATGCCCCAAGGCTAGTTTGGACATTTCAAGATGTGCAAGTAAGGGCCTTGCATTTCCTCTTTTTTACATTTCAGGGATAATATGCCAAGTAATGATTTATATATTTTCTAGGAAGGTAGATAAGTTCCACATCATGAATTTATCACTCTGCAGAAGATACCTGAGTTTTGCTCAGCCTATTAGCAGAGATACACACAAAAGCACACAACACTCAAACAGCATATATTCTTTTCAGTGCCTCTTTGAATGCCCGAGCTTGCCTCCAGAACATTGTGATTTTCCCTTTTGTTCAACAACAGTCGTAAGTCCCAATTGGATAGAAATGAAAAAAGGCTAATTGCTTGCCAAGAATCTCTGGTATTGCTTCCCAGACCACAGAAAATGTCATATAGCAGGGGTCCTCAAACTAAGGCCCAGGGCCGGATACGGCCCTCCAAGGTCACACAACAACAGCAACAATTCTATCTCATCAGCCAAAAGCAGGCCCACACTTACCATTAAAATACTAATAAGTTTATATTTGTTAAATTTGTTTTTCATTTAATTATAATTATAGTATTGCTTTTAAGTGTTTTTTGCACTACAAATAAAATATGTGCAGTGTGAATAGCAATTCATTCTTCTTCTTTTTTTCAAATTATAATCCGGCCCACCAAAAGTTTGAGGGACTGTGACCTGGCCCTCTGTTGAAAAAGTTTGTGGACCCCTGTCATATATGATTGGAAATGGATTCTACTATAAAGGCAAATGCAAGGGAGAATAGGACTTGCTGTATGCTGTTACAGCTTTTCCCCAGACTGTAACATTCTCTTGCTGTTTTGGATTAAAGTCCCATCATCCCAAACCCATGCTGGCTATGACCATAGGAGTTGTAGTCTAATTTAGGCCCCATCTAAATGGCCATGTAATCCAGTTTCTGAATCAAGATTATCTGTTTTGAACTGGATTATATGGGAGTTATACAATGATGATTATGTTTATTTATACCCCGCTTTTTCTCTCCACAAGGAGACTCCAAGCGGCTCATGTAGACTCATACAATCCAGTTTAAATCAGATAATCTGAATCCAAAAACTGGATGACATGGCAGTGTAGATCCAGCCTCATCTGGGGGGCATCAGATTGGAGACTGCTTCTTCTAAATAAAGAATTATTGCTATATTGTTGTAATTATTGCAGCCACAAGATCAGGTGTGTAAAATAAATGGAAATACTCAAGCTGTTTTTCTTTATTTCTTTTAATTTGTTTTACATTCTTTGTTGTCTTATCCACAAAGAAACATTGGGCCAAAGTTTCCCCTTCCTGAATGAATTCAGCCAAGGATATTCCCAACTATCCATCCCAGATGAGCATCTTGCTAATCTTACAATACTTGCCTTGTCTATAGAGCCTCCGTGAGAATTTGAGGGAATTCCAAGACTCAAAAGCACAGCAGAGCCTGGAAGATATGGAAAATATTGTGATAGATTTATTCTCTTGAGATCTCACCTAGCCGTAAACACATGAATAGTTTTATTTACTTATTTATTTATTTATTTATTTATTTAATTATAACATTTATATTCTGCTCTTCTCACCCCAAAGGGAACTCAGGGCAGATCACAGAACACATGCACGGCAAACATTCAGTGTCATTAAACAGACAGGACAGACAACAGATAGAGGCATTTTTCCCCAATTTCGGCGTCCTGGAAGTTGTGCTCAGTTCTGGCCACAGGGGGATGCTGTAGCTTCATCTTCTATGATGAAGAGCCTTGATCACAGACTTCCTCCTTCCTTTGATTTTTCTGGTATTTCTCTTAAGGTGCCATAAAATACCTCCCTGCTTAAGCAGTGCCTAATTTTTCGACTAACAGTTCACAGCTGTTTTCAAATTGCTTAGGTGGACAATAAGCTGGGCTGAAGGTCAGGTGCTCACCCCAACCCGGGCTTCGAACTGGAAACATTTCGATTGGTAAGATCTATTGCTGCTGGTGATTAACCAGCTGTGCTAAAGCCTGGCCCACTTCCAGTTATTTAGATCAGTGCTTCTTAAACTCCAGTCCCCAGGTGTTTTGGACTTTAACTTCAGAAGCCTCAGCTGCTTTGGTCAATGAATCAGGGGTCCTGGGACCTAGAAACCAAAATATCTGGAAGACTAGAGTTTGGGAAACACTGTTTTAGATTATGTTTTAGAGAGAGTCTGGCTATTACTTTTAATGCAAACTGTTTTTTCACTGATGAAAAACTGAGATAGGGTGGCTATCCATTGTAAAGTAGGAAATTCAACAACCTCCAGCATTTAAAGGATTTAAGATGCCTTAACAGAGAGCAGCAAAATAAGTTTTCAGTAGCTCAGTAAGTCTCCTAATCTCTTACCTGTTATTGTAACATTCCTGAGGTGTAAACGGACACTCTGAAGGATCTTGCCATCTCTCCTCTTCCTACCCTCATGTTCTTTCAGTTCTACCAAGAATGAAACTCGCTTCCATCTGTGTTAGCTCAGCTTCCTTATCTTCAGTGAGCTTCTTATACTAAAGCATCTATTTATTCCTTTATGCATTGGTGTCTTTGCTACTTTATCAGAATAGCTGTCAGTTCCCCACACTCACTCTCCATCTTGTGACAGGCACAATGAGTCCTTGGCAATTAGGGAGAAAATTATTTCATCTTGATGAGGGGCATAAGAGCTGGTCCCCATTCTTGGGATGGAAATGGTTATATTATTCTATATATTTAAAGTACAGAGTGAAAAAGATATGAGCTCTCTAAAATAAATGATGAACACATCCACTCTTTCCCACACTATTGATCATCATAAGAAATGCTTGGACTGAGTGACAAAATAACTTTGTAATAGTATTGCCCACTGATTCCATGCACTATGTGGTTTATGTAATGAGAGCTTGATGCTTTGGAACATACTTTTCGAACATGCCATTATGTGCTGTTGTTTTTTAAACACACTACTGCATTAATATTGGGTAAAAATCCTAAATACTCCTTTAGATACTTGGTTACATTTTCAACCATCTGTGCCCAAAGAAATAAGACAGTTGGGGAAATAATAGCTCAGGATTGTTGTGTGCCTTCAAGTGGTTTCTGACTTGAATCTATCTCAGGATTTTCTTGGCAGGTTTCTTCAGAGGGGGTGTTGCTTTTGCTTCACTGAGTGAATGTCACTTTTCCAAGGTCACCCAGTGGGTTTTCTTGGCAGAGCAGAGTTTTGAACCCTGGTCTCCAAACCACTTCACCACAGTGGCTCTCAGTCTCTTGTTTAGGAAATAAAAATCAATGGTGTCTGGTGTTATCTGTGAAAGGATTTCCTAAATATGGCTCATGTTGCTAAAAATAATAATCTGTGCAAAATGGCGTCAGTGTGTCTTAAGAGGCGAATATTAATGAGGCTTAGTCTGTAATCTTTATTGGTGTTGCTAGCAAATGACAGTATATCTATAGGTTTTTTGGTTTGTTTGCTGCTGCCCTTTCTCATATTGTCAGCTGCCACCAACTTTTTAGACGAGTGTGTCTGTCTGTTTGTGTGTGTGTATGTGTCTATATATATAGTTTCAATTCTAAATGAAAATGGAAATAGAACCCCTCTCCCTCTGTTCAAAAGAATTATCGTTCAAAAGCACTCTATTTTGTGGAATTGAAGACTGCTATTCCACAGCATGGTCAGCATGGAAGGAAAAGCCATCACTTTTTATTTTAATTTAACAGGAATTATATCATCCTTCCTGTATAGGTCAGCAGTTTTTGCACTGCCATCCTAATTATTTACTCAAGCTCAATAAATATCCTCTATTTGGTAGGGATCATCCTATTCACCCTTCTGTCATCCCATTATTTCAGCTGCTTTTAGCTTGTCCCAGTTTCTCTCTCTTCCTCTTGCTTCAGTTGCTGAAAACTGAGTTCAGAATGTCGCCCTTCCCTGTACATTCAGGCAAAAGCAATTAGCCGTAAACTCACCCAACGTGTGTGTTTCTCCCCATTAATATCTTTTGCAATTTTTGACAATGTTACTTTACCCACACATGTCCTAGTTTTTAGCCATGAAATATTGAAAAAGACACTAAAGGGACTCTTTTTCTTTCCACAGCTTTTTGCAATCTTTGCATTTGCAACATGTGGTGGCTACTCTGGTGGACTGCGGCTCAGCGTGGACTGTGCAAACAAGACACAGAGCGACCTCAGCATTGACATAGCTTTTGCATATCCATTCAGGTAATTCATTGTCATTATTTGCCCTTTGCATAGAAGGTTGTAAAACTTAACAAGTCACCAGAAAAATGCTTTTGCCCATAGCAGAAAGTCTGTCATTGTTGTTTGGTATTGATGTGGGTTTTTTCCATTATGGCTGCTTCTAGATGTTAACATAAATAAATAGACATGGTGATTAGGTATCATTTGTTATTAGGATGCTGATGCATTAGAGCCCTTGAGCATTCCTGGGACATAGATGAAAATGGTAATAGGGCTTCTACACACAGTACTAGTATTTGTTAGATGCAAATAGGTATCAACACTAGTACCCAGTCCAGGAAATAATGCCCGGCTGCTCACTGGAGGGAAGGATATTAGAGACAAAGATGAAGTACTTTGGCCACATAATGAGAAAACAGGAAAGCTTGGAGAAGATAATGATGCTGAGGAAAATGGAAGGAAGAAGGGCCAACCAAGGACAAGATGGATGGATGGCATCCTTGAAGTGAGTGGCTTGACCTTGAAGAAGTTGGGGGTGGCCATGGCTGACAGGGAGCTCTGGTGTGGGCTGGTCCATGAGGTCACAAAGAGTCAGAAGCGATTGAATGAATAAACAACAAAATCAATACTTGTATAAAGTGATTTATTAGGAGAATCTTTGTTTCACTTTTCTATATTCATTATACAGTAGGCCTGTTTATTGTGCAAACTTGTTGAACACAATAATAGTAATACATTAAAAGCTTTGAAACCATAGAATTGAGTTGATAGAGCTATAGATGTCTATAGATGTGCTATCTTTGGTCTCCAACATGATTTAATGGCCAGCCTCCAGTGGAACATCTCACAGAATTTAACTATAGAATCACTCTGGAGGCCTAGACAACACTTTTCTAAGCATCTGTATGTCCTTCAGCATGTTGCTATGGTATGCTTCAGCCAGAAGCCAAAGATAATATTCATTTCAGATAAGAAAAAGAGGATTCCTGATTTTACGCAAAAATTGTATTACACAAACAAAAAGAAAGCTTCCATGGATTTTCAACTCCAATAATGGATGTCTGGTTACACTCACATGTGAAAGCCAGCTTTTAAGGGCATTTCTATGCAATGTAGGCCGGCTTCTTTTGCTTATCTCCTCTCATTACCTTAGATGGATTTCCTAGGACAATAAACATAGGGGTTTTTTTAATTTTAACCTCCCAAGAGCATCCGGAGTAATTACTCTTGTTTCCACCACAAGTTCACATTGCACTCATTCTGCTGTACTCGACTTAATATAGATACCAAATATTCCTACAGCATTATCCAGCAAGATCTTTCCCTGTGACCAAGACTATTTAATTGGACATTTTAATTAAAAAGTTTTAACCGTATACATAAATCTCATTTTTAAAAATAAAATTCCTATGAACAGAGATGAGGAATTAATTGTGAAGACTCTGCTAGTTGTCCCCATTTTAAATATTTTTTCAATTCTGTATCAAGTTTCATATTTCTATGAAAAGTTTCATAAAAAAGAGTAAATCAGAGGCTGAAATGAAAAGTGGGACAATTATGTGAAACTTTTGCTATATATTAAATTACATGCATGAGCGAACAATCACAAAAAAAATCAGCTCTGAAAAATAATGTGAATAAACCATCCTGAAAAAATACAACAAAAATTATAATATACGAGGGGTATTTTTTAAGTAAGGTCCATTTGAACATAAGTACAACAAAAGTTTATTTCAAAAAAGTAAATTTATTTTCAGAAAGTACATACTTCACTCTATTTTTCGACATAGTTGCCAAGTTTGTTCAAACACTTATCATACCTCTGAACCAATTTTAAAATACCCTCTTCATAAAAACTTGCCGCCTGCTCCGATAACCAAGAGTTCACTGTAATCAAAGAAGGGCGACCGGAGCGGTCCTCATCATGGACGTTGTCACGGCCATCTTTGAATTGTCGTACCCACTTACGCACTTTGCTTTCACTCATAACAGTATCACCGTACACTTCACAAATCTGTCCATGAATTTCTGCAGCAGGCAGGTTCCTTGCTGACAAAAACCGTATCACTGAGCGAACCTCACATGCGGCGGGTGAGTTGATAGTCTTAAACATTTTTAAAGCACAGGACAGAACCGTACAGGTTAGCTACAGAGTGGAAACTGAGCACAGTTGTTCCCGAGGCATGCCGGTACACGACGCATGTGCTCGTTGCGGTATGCACGCGAACTACTAGTGTCTACAACAAAACGGACCTTGCTTAAAAAATACCCCTCATATATAGATGGAAAAGCCATAAAAGTGAATGAATAAAAACAATAATTCCAGAGAACAAAGCTTGCATGGAAGCAACCTTTATTATACTAGTGTGCATTGTCAGGAACTGGTTTCTAGGCCTGGAGTCTTGGCGCCATAAACCAGAATCCTGACACGGACTGATAAGAGTGTGCAGCTGGTGACCTTGGGGAAAAGCAGTTGATGTTTGGCGGGGAAGGTTGCGCGGGTTTTTCGGCTGGCGGGAAGAGGGAATTTGATTGTGAGGGAGGGTATATAAGGGTTGAACTGCGGCTGCAAGCCAATCCTGGCTTTTCTTGTGTATGAATGTCCAGCAGTAAAAGTTTCCTGATTGATCACGGAGTGGCGTCCTGTGTCGTTATTGGGAGCGGCTGCTGTGAGCTCACATTAAGCCAGGATTTCAGTACCATCCCGCGGCTGCGGTGAGGTACCTTCATGGAACGGGAGGAAGTTCCAGCGGCAGAGGGAGAGCCGGAATCCCTGGTTGGGAATGCGGAGGAGGAGCTGGAGAGAGTGGCAGCTTCGGCTTCACCAACTGCTTACACCCGGCCCAACAGAGCGACCCAGGGGCGAGTGAAGGGGGCCGAGGCGGCGGCGAAAGAGAGCAGTGGGTTGGATCTCCCTTCCCCGCAGAGATTGGACTATCTGGAGGGAAAAGCAGCATCTGTGGAGACGACCCTCGCAGTGATGTCAAGGGTGATGGAGCGGCTAGCCCCCTTGATAGAAGAACCCCGACCCCAAAGGGAATCAACGTGGAGTGCGGGGGAGAGGAGTGGCCGGGAACCTATGCAACCATCCCAGCAGACGCTTCTGGTGCCCCCGGGCGGAGCCGGGCGCGGCACAGGGCGGCACGAATTGCCCCCGGAGCAGCAGGGGCTCCAGGGAGGGCCACCCCGAGCGGAGAGCCGAGGGGAGCAACCTATCGCCCCGCGACAGAGGAGGGAGAAGCTGCGGATCGAATTCGGAGGTGAAGCTGGGAACCTCGATTATTTCCTAACCATAGTGAGGGGATACCTGGAGGATAACGCAGCCACCTTCAGATCGGAGGCAAGCAGGGTGCGAGCAGTGGGTGCAGCACTGAGGAGAGGAGCAGCGGAATGGTATGTCCAACTCCATGCCAGGCATGACCCATGTTTGGGGTCCACGAGGCGTTTTCTGGCGGCGATGGAAGCACGCTTTAGGGACCCGCTCGAGAGGGTCCGAGCGAGAGAGAGACTGCAAACAATAACCCAAGGCCAGCGCTCTATATCCGAATATGTGGAAGAATTCCAGCTGCGAGCAGATAAGGTGCCTGAGTGGTCCAATACTACTAAGGTCCAGATATTTAAAGGGGGCCTGCAGAGGGAAATCTTGACTTGGGCACTCCATCGCGACGATCCGGAGGAGATAGGCGGATGGATCGAGCTAGCTGGCCGCATCGAGACGACCTTGGCTCAAGTCACGAGACATCAAGGGGCAACGTCGCAGCAGCCGAGAGCCAAGGAAGAGAATCGGAGGGCAGAGAGGCGCCCAGCCGGAGAACCTAAGGAGCAGAGAGGCGGTTGTTATGTATGCGGTCGTTTTGGACATCGGGCCGCTGTTTGTCAGCAGAGGAAGGGGGGGACCCCCCTCAGTCAAAGTTGAAACCAGCGGCCGGGAGGAGAGCGGAAGAGAGCCTCCCTCATAGGACCCCAATGGGGGATCCGGTGAGTCACAGCTCAGGGATGTTAGTATTCCCGATAAGGCTAGAAGGGGAAGGGAAGTGGGCCAGCTGCAAAGCCCTCATGGATTGTGGCTGCTCCAGGAACATTATGACCCCAGAATTGGCAGATGAACTGAAATGTGAGAAGGCCGTCTTGCCAGCCCCTATAGCATTCTCACAGCTGGATGGCTCGGTAGCGGCTGGAGCCCCGGCGCGATTTGAAGTAAGAGAGGTGCAATGCAAGATAGGGAATTGGGAAGGTAAAGTAACATTTGTGATATCCCTGATGGCAACTTACAATGTGATATTGGGGATGCCGTGGCTGAGGGAGGCGAACCCACAAATCAATTGGAGAGAGGGCAGCCTGAGCTTCCAAGGCGAAGAGAGGGGGGAATGTTGTAAGGGGGAGGGGAGCACAATGGATGGAGTGCAGGAGATCCCTCCCAAATACAGAGACTTTGAGGATGTGTTTGACGAAAAGGAAGCGGATCAGCTCCCTCCCCCCAGACGGGTCGAAGTGAAAATCGAACTCAATAAAGATGCTAAGTTGCCACGGAGTAGAATATACCCCATATTGGCTAAGGAGATGGAAGAACTGAGGAGATATATTGATAAAAACTTGGCCCGAGGATTCATAACGCCATCCGAATCCCCATTGGGGGCTCCAGTGCTATTTAGGCACAAGAAGGATGGTTCATTGAGGTTGTGCGTGGACTATAGGGGACTGAGTGCAGTGAGCACAACCAACAGTTACCCGATGCCTCTAACCAAGGACCTACTGTCGAGACTGTCGGAGGCAAGTCAAGGGAAAATTGACTTGATCGAGGCCTATCATAAGTTGCGGATACGGCCTGAGGACAGGTGGAAAACAGCGTTTGCATGTGCGCTAGGGCATTTTGAATATTCCGTGTGCCCTTTTGGGCTAAAAGGTTCTGGGGGAGCATTCATGCAAATGATAAATGAGGTATTGCACCCGCTGCTGTATCGCGGAGTGTACTGCTTTGTGGACGATGTAATCATATTCACCCGTGATAAGCAATCACACGT